ACCATCATGCAGCAACGATAGTTATTTCGTGTAATTTGTGGAATGTCCCACAAGTTCAGAGTCACAGGAGAACTCTGGTTATTTAGCAAAATACTGAAAAATGTAAAGAGGGAAAATTTGTTGAAAATTATGCGTTTCCAGTCTTAAGTGTTGAGATTTTTTCCTAGGACGAGCAATTACGGCGCTACACTCTTCACATTATCAATAGTAAAACTTACGGCGATGTTGTCACGTTGGCATGACAGCGAAAGGGGGATGTGCCTCCAGAATTTCCTGTGGGATCTGTCTCTCCTTTACTTCCCCCTACTGTAGTACCTGTGTCTCCTTCACTACCGCTTCCCCGTACTCTTGAAACCACCACACCATAACCAGTGGGCTCTCCCACCTAAGGAAAAAGAGGTATAGCTAGAGCTAGTAGTAGATGGTAAGGCCAATTTAACTTTAAATTTCTGAAGAATTGGGTTTACAGCACAAATCAGGACAAAAAATGTATTTCAGATTTTTGTGTACATATCTGAAAGCCCCCAAAAATTAAATGGCCGACAGAAATGAGACCTCGACGTATTCAAACGATCATGACACGAACAAACCTTAAGTCAGTTGGTCACACTGCAAGTTATGTGGGCCACGTAACTGTTATGACTGACATGTGACTTGCACCCAGTAAAAGTGACGTCCACTTCGTCAATGCACGTGTTGACAACTTTACATTTAACTACACTCTGTTGTGTATTGATTATTAATAATAGGATTAATGATTAAAATACACGTATCCTAACGTCTTTTGACTATGATGTTAGCATCACACGTTTACAAATTTTACGTTAACAACTGCATTTATTTAATATATGCTTCGCCAGCCGGGAATTGAACCTTGTTCATCTAACTCTTAGCCTAGTCACTAAACTGACTAAGCGACATTCGATAATGAAAGAAGCGTTAGTATAAGAACAACATTTAAGCTGCAGAGATTCAATTCTAAAAAAGCACTTAATTGGGTCACACGAACAAAAGAGATGGAATAAAGAACAAATTATGTCTGTGTTATTTGACCGTCTTGGTCCTTGCCGGTCTGACTAGGTGAAGCCAGGGATCCACATTTTAGCTACAGACGCCCACTGGATGGCACTTTCCATCTGTCTCTTGACGGTAGAATAATGACAATGATGAATGATGATTATGAAGATTGGAAGAGGTTATGCACGGCGCGGCAATAAGAACCCTAGTGATGATCTGGCATTCTACCCTACACAGACTCTGAATCTTATACAGGCTGATAAAAGAGAGCCTGAGGAAAACAATCACTGGATCTACTTGATTTCAAAACAGAGACCTGAACTTGAGATGTTTTGTTTCACGATTTGTTGGCGAGATTTTAGGTTCTCAAACACGACATGCATGAAGATGACGGTCTACTAGGATGTTGCGCTGTAGTCTGGTACATATTAATCGCAGTTGCAGACGTATTTCATTACCTAATGGCTGCAAGCACCTCTGAAACGTCCGTAAATCTGCCATACTGCACGGCGTAACGTCTCACATGACAGTATTCTTCTTATGGTCTGCTATTTGACTATTATGTTACTGAACAACAGATTTTATACTATCGTTCTAATTTCAATAGACGGAACAAAATCATGAAGAATGCCAGTCAGGACAGTGCTAAGTCGGTCGAGATTCAGACCGGGTTCATTATTTGACGCGGGCAACTGGAAGACTATACAAACACCGACGATGTTACGGACCAGCAGGAGACGCGACGTAAAGTTTGTAAAACATTCATGTGTCCAACCGTTACAAGTTACATGCACGCTGGCTTAGCAATTAGCAAACAAACACAAAGCGCGATACACAATGGCTAAGAAGCCATGCACCGCATGTTGCATCACGACAGTTCTACCGTGGAGAAAACGTGGTTAGCTACAGCATGAAAGAGTGGACAGAATGGAAGGTCCTGGATAGCATGAATTCTAATGCATTAAAGTGCCTAATCCATGAAGGCAAAAACAAGAAAAATTCGCACGGAATGTAGAAATCAGGACTAAACTAACCATCAAAATAGCAGTTTGGTAAGGAGATATGCCGACTATATAAAACATATTTTAAAATATGATGCTGTAATAATATTGAAAACAAATTGTGTGTCATATATGGGTGAGACGTGAAATATACCCATACTTTTAGTCGGGAAACAAGAAAGGAAAAGTCCACTTTCGACACCGAGGCGTAGATATAAGAATGATATTAAAATGTATCAGAATTAGTATGTGGATTGAATTGAAGGGACTCAAGTTAAGTAAAAGAGCAAGTTCATTTGACCACGATAATAAACTTTAGGAACAGTGCCATATATTTAACATTCGTGAATCGTCTTAAAAAATTATGTGGCTGCCATTTTATAATCACAGATCGATACCTATTCTTCCACTCCCTGATCCGGACTTTCACCTGACACTTGCGTTTCTGGGCCATGACTTCACTGCGGAATATAATTCAAAGAAACGATCAGCATGAAATTCTGTATGGAGGTCATGCGACCAGCAGTCGTCATCCAACCCTCTGAGACGGAAAATGTTCGAGTTACGTTGCAGTTAATGTCGCTTGGCTTAAACCATAACTACAGTGGCTGGCATACTTTATTCAGGCCAAGCGATACGACGTTCAATAAAAATCTGTTCGTTGAGGACCATGTTATTCTGTGTTTAGGGATGGACGGACAGCCGAATACGATTCTCGTCTCTTTCATACAGTGTCTCCATTGCATTCATGAATAAACCAAGAGTTGGACAAATTCGGGGAATGCTTGAGAGATTTAAGGTTCTCACGGCTGTGAAAATGTCGTTTATACATTTGACAGGGAGGCTGAAGAAACCTGCGTAATGAGGTGCTTCATAATTCCTACTGTTACCCAAACACCAGGGCGAATAAATGGAGGAGACATATGGAGCTTATGTAGGAGATGAGAAACGCGTGCAGAATTTTTGTTTGGAAGCCTGAAGGGAAGAGACTACTCAGAATACGAAAACGTGAATGGGGGAATAATATTAAAAACAATCTTAAGGAAGGGTATGAGGATCTAGACCGGACTAATCAGGCTCATAATAACGACGGGTGGCAGGGTCTTACAAGCACGGTAATGAACCTTTGGGTTCAAAAATCTGTGAGGATTTTGACTATCTAAGTGACTATCAGCTTCTCAAGAAGAAGCGTGGTCCATGCAGTTTCTTTTTTCTCCTTTTACTGATCCTCTCTGTCTCTCTCCTTCATCTAATGCATCTCTTTCTTTAATTACTAATGTGAAAACGCCTCGACTTTGAGGTGCACACAGTAAGAAGTCTGCCTACTGTTTCAGAAGTATGGTTTAGTGCCTGGGAATCGAACGACGGACGATTTACGCCACAGCAGTTTGTGGTTGGAACTGGATCGACGACGTTCCGTTGTGTGACGTCACGACCCACATATACCTAACTGTGCTGAGCTCAGGATGGATCGCCCAGAGCAAGGTCCTGGTCTACAAAGATCCAGCTCATTGTGTCTTGTGCGAAGCAACACGCGTGTCATTTCCTATACTTCCCTCGTTATATGATATTGAAATGTTAAAAGTTTTACGTAATCCGTTAATCGATATTTACAACAGCTCGCGACTGGGCCCCATCATGTATCAGCTTGATCCATTCCACACCCTCGCTCCCTGTTTTTGGTTGACGTCACTCACGGCCTGGTAGCACACAAAATGGACCAAAGGTTTTGAACAAATTAAATATGTAAATTAAAAAAATATAACGCATGGCAAAGAATGTGTGACATATTTTGTTAGACGGGCATGTAGATTGTCAAACTGCCGCTAGATGCCCGTAAAGCAAAGCGTGCGGATTGTTTACATTTGTTTCTTATTCAACGTTTATTTTGTTAAAAAAAATTGCCACACATTATATATGCATCAATGTAAAATAGCAGTTCTTGTGCTGTTAGGGGAAAGTATTAGAAAGATAACATTTAAATGAAACTGATAGAAATAAATGTAAATTATCCCTCTTTAGAGAAATGGTTCTAATATTAATACATGAGTAGGAAATGGGGGAGGGGGGAGGGGAGAGGTTGTAGTAGTTAACGTACATTCGAATAATCAAAAGGACTCGTGTTCCATCCGATTTGTCGTCACTAACCTTGAGATAAAAAAGGTAATAACATCGTATAACATAATGATAACTCGTCTGAAGACGGTAGCACAACGAACTCCAGAAACGTCAAGTTTAAATACACAGATAAATAGACAATGTTTAATTCAACATTGGTACATTGTTTGAAGAAACTTTACGGCCTTCGTCATCAAAAATTACACAATACCAATTAATAAAAAAGCTAGAAAATTAAAATTACGGCGCATTCGCCAGTATCTTTCCGAACCTTTGTGAATGGCAACGTAATTCCCAAGGCGCAATCATGACGTTTAACATTACTCTGAGCCATCTCAACACAATCCACACATTCATACATCATTTATTCTACATCCATCCCTTTTACGCCTATGCCCCAGGTGTGGTCTCTTCTTTGAGTATTTCGACACGAAATTTTGCCTGCAGTTCTCATTTACATCATAAATAATCCACACTTTATTCTAAACAACGCTCAAGCTATGTTTTCCTCTTGCAACGAGAGACTAAATTTCACATTCAAAAGTACAATTAGTGGAATGCGATACTTGGGATGTTTCGGCAGTACACATATTTCCGGATTGAAGTACTATCGTTTCACGTTTCTATGGACCTGCTACCCATACCAAGTTCGTTCCCAAAAACGATTTCGTCGATGTCGATTGTAGTTTTCTGGGTTGAGGTTTGTAACCACTTACAATGTCAATATGACATTCTTACGGCTGTAAAGATGACGATGTTGTTCTTCTGGGTGTAGACTCGTAGGTAGATATTGACGTTTCAGTAATATATACTGTATATTTGGCCTTGAAGATGGAGACGGCGTCGCAACCCAGTAGAACAAGATTGTCAACCAGTTACAATACTACACGATGTCACGACCTAGAAGACCACATTTTACTGTCGCGTTAAAGTCAAATAAATCCGACTTCACGGTTTATTTATGATTCACTTGCAGTGAATGTGGAAGAAAAGTACCAATAAATCTGACCTTCGCCCGTACAGACATCAATGTCGTAATAAGTATCACAAATTTTTACAGAATAGGCATCGTAATGAGTCAGGTGATTACATTATTTTTCTTGTTGCATAATTCTTCCTCCTTGAATTTGGTGACGAAGACGATTGTAATTTGTGTTCTTGTAACTAAAATCTATTACAATCATGACATATGGTTGGCCGGCAGATGAGCCAGGTGTATGATTCTGCAACTGACTTACTCTATACACTTACTTCCGTACCATATGCCTCGCAAAGAAAACAGTACGTTCTCTCGCATAATAAGAATCAATCAATCACGAAACACCAGTAAATTTTCGTAATACGTATATTTAATTGTTTTGTTTTTACTCTCGTAGCGAACATAACATTAACAGCTTTAGTGTTATCTTAATAGCAGTATATTTATAAAAACCACGAAATTTGTGAAGTTATTAACATTAGAAACAACAAATTTTGAGCAACGAATCTGTCTCCAATGTATCTTTGTGATAACGGATGAAAGACGTAAATGGTAGTGAATCCATGGACCGCTGGATCTAGGGACTGTGATTAGCCCCTTCTATCGGACCCACAAGAATAGGACTTTCATTTGAAGACGACAGCGGAAATGAAGTGGTTCGTTTTAGAGTATGAAATGATTAAATACGTCCATACCTTTACAACCTATTTTCCTATGATATAATTTAATATTATCATACCATCTACACGTACAAATTACATATTTTCTTCTGCATTTATGATAAATAAACTTCGCGTCTCAGTTCAGTTTAATTTAATTCCACACAATTTTTATTCGCATTCAGTGCAGTAATTATAAATAAAATACAAACTTTGCTAAAAGTTGGAGTGAGGCCTGTGCTAAAGGTTGCCATATTGTGAAGTTCTCCTCAGTGTGTTTAAACTCGTTACAGTGATTAGAATTTACAGGAAGCCTATTACAATTACTTACTGACCAATCCGCAGCATACTTTGTACTCGTATTAGAACTCCGATTAAAATTCAAGACTCCGCAGCCTATTTTCATTACAAGATTAATCATCGAAACATTTGCATTATTTACATGCCTATTCAATACGGCAAGTTTCAAGTTCGTTGGAGGGCGTGCGAACCAAACTCCTTCACGTTATGTGATTTTTCCGCCCTTATGGTTTATAAACTTGGATAAACGTTCTCACAGAACGTTGGTATCTACCTACGAGTTAACACAGCGTCAAAAGATGTTGCATCGACATTTTCATCTCAAATCTGTTTCATTTTACTCACATGTGGTTTGTAGTTTATGATAGCCCACAGCTCTGTTCCTTACCGGTGGTGGTAAGAATATCCTAGCAGCCCGTCTCGTATCGGATCCTCGCCCCAGCTGCGTCGCATCTGCACACTAGCACCTGCTTGCCTCTCGCACTGTGTCTGGCTGCGGCCAAGTTCAGGGGCGCACTGACTGCTGTGCTGTGGACCAGGTAACTGGGTGAAGGAGGCGGCAGAACTGGGTCACGCAGCAACAACAAGCAGGTCCGCGCTCTTGAGTTTCCTCCTTTTCCTTCTTTCATTCCTCCACATGCGGTTCACGAGGTCTCTACTGCCTGCAGCACAACGCCTGGGAACTTTGTGATAACGCCAATGAGCAGATTCCCGCTCAAGAATCTAAAAGGTGTTCCAAGCAGCCTCTTCCCTTGGTTTTCAGGTATGAATTTTTCAGTTACCCTTTGCGTACTACATGTTCTTTAATTTGTGTAGTGTAATTAGGACAGTCGTGATCAGATGTGACAAAGACGTTTCTTCGCTACAACCGTCGGCTTCTTTCAAGATCACCGCAAGCGATGTTTTGTCCGTGTCCATTTCGTAGACGCTGTCGAGGATCTGCAGCTGCAGTGTTTGTCCTCCAGCCCGCGTACAGGTTCTGTCATCTCAACAACAGTGACCTCAAACGGCAGCAGCACTTGTGATCATGCAGCGACAGAATGGGAAAGGGTGCCATCGGAGGTATTCCAATTGGTGTCGTTTGGCTAATGGTGAAGCTCGTGATGTTCGCATCAAATCGGCTTTAGTAATCTACCTGTGCATCTTTCTATGTTTCAAGTTCAGTCTCTAACCCAACCCAGAGTTCTTTGCTTGGATTATGATACTCTGGTAAAATACTTATTTTGCAATCTGGACATGCGATCATCCCGAAGAAATTTGTGAATTTAAAGCTACGTGAAACAGAGTTGCTTCTACACTTTTCATATTTTGGAGTTTATAAAAACAACCTATCTCTTGTTTTGTGTGGGTGTAAAACTTGGTCTGTTTGCATTAAGGAAAACCACAGATTGAGAGCGTTTGAGAACATGTGGGTAAGGAGAGGAATGAAGTAACAGGGCGTTGGAAGAAATTGCATAAATAGAAGCTTCATAATTTATACTCCTCACCAAATAATAATATGATCATCAAATCAAGGAAGCTGAAACGGGTGAGGCATGTAGGGCGTTTTTGGAAGGTGGATATAGAGCCGACAGCACGTGGCGAGTTGAATTTGACGATGTTGATTGGTGGTGCGGAGGAGCAGTACACATACTTGAAATTAGGCTACGACAACTTATTTCCATAGGCGCGTCTTTTCAAATTCACTACTCATTAATCATCCTATAATCAGATGCTATGTAGTCTAAGTAA